TGCCCTGCTTAATTTGATACCGCCGCTGCAGCGCCCGGCTTAATCTGATACGGCCGCTGCAGTACCCTGCTCATTTGATACTGCCGCTGCAGTGCCCTACTTATTTGATACTGCCGCTGCAGTACCCTGCTCATTTGATACTGCCGCTGCAGTGCCCTACTTATTTGATACTGCCGCTGCAGTGCCCTACTTATTTGATACTGCCGCCGTAGTGCCCTGCTCATTTGATACTGCCACCGCAGTGCCCCGCTTAATTTGATACTGCCGCTGCAGTGCCCTGCTCATTTGATACTACCGCCGTAGTGCCCTGCTCATTTGATACTGCCGCCGCAGCGCCTCGCTTAATTTGTGTGTATGTTAGACTAGTGTCAGTGTTTAGGTAGGATGTTGGACTAGTTTAAGTGTTTATGTAGTTAATAAATTCTTACTTGTATCACACTTGACGTTGGTCATTGTTTGCTCATAACTGCAGATTTATGCTACAGGCTCTGTGTAGAATTGTACAGTAAGAACGTTATTTCCCTTAACCAGGAAATTACCGTTCTTAGAATTGACAGACAGTTGACCCTGAGAGGTCAAGTAAATACTTACAGCGGATCTAAATATTTATAATTAATTATAACTAGTTATGATTAATTATTCATATTTCCCCGTGAGCTGATTCGCTACATTGCTTAATCACATTATATGTTAGTGTGAACTAGTGAATTATTTATTTAACACATTAATACATTTAATACACTGCACAACAGTTCATGTGCTGGTCGTCACCTAATTAGGACCCGAAATAGATAAATATCACGTGTGCTTTTTAAAACAGTATGCAACAACAGTGGGAAACTCTGTATTTTCATGCAGTGTGCGCATGTCAAAAGAGTAAATCCGATCAGAAGCTCATGACATATAAATGCACATATCAACCCGATCACTTTATTTAGCGTTCATGTAAACACTACGTTCGGATTCGTCAATCAGAATGAATTCATTCCGATGGAAGCAAAAAGTGTCCATGTAAACGTACCTAGTGAGAATGCGCTACAATCCTGACAAGTCATAGCAACAGAGCGGAGGCGCCAAATCTTCTGTCACTGACGGAGATTTACAGAAAATGACCGTTGTTTTCAAATAAATAATTTTACATACTTATTCCCAACACTTTATTAAGCTTTAAGTCACATCTCAAATGACAAGGGATCAACTTATAATCATGTTTATATTAATTAGCCCGTGAACTCATTCTCTCAGATGGCCTGGGTATGCGACGCATTCGCAGCTTATATGGACGGAACGCCACTGTGTCATGTAAATATTTTTACATGGCTTTTCAAAAATACCAGGTAGCCTGTGTTTTGTATGCGTTTGGCCAATCAGTGTACACTTACGTCACTGGTAGTTCCTGTAGAACTGTTTTAGACCCAACTCTCAAGTAGGAGCTAATTTAGTTACCCCAAATGGAGTTCCTAGAACTAAATACGTTTCTAGTTTCTGTGGTGCGAAAACACCAAAAAGTGGTGTGTGTGTATATATATATATATATGTGCACTCAAAGTGAACTTCCTCCAACATGACAATGATGTCATCTTTGCCGTGTGCACCCAAGTGAACTTACGGACGCGTCGAGTATAAATCAGCCTTCAGTGCGGGCTCGGCAGAAGTGTGCATCAAGGGTGCATAGGGGGCGGTCGCGAGTACCCTTCTGAAAGCTAAAATGACGAATGGTACGGCAGTGTTCCTCAAATCTTGCCCTGGAGGGCCAATGCGCTGCAGAGTTTAGGTCCAACCCTGATCAAACTCAGCTACCTGTGATTTTCTAATGATCCTGAAGATATTGATTAGCATGCTCAGGTGTGTTTGATTAGGGATAGAGCTAAACTCTGCAGGAAAGTGGATCTCGTGGGCCAGATTTGAGGATCCCTGATATATGAGATCATTATTTACTAAAACTCAAAAGAAATGCAAATAATTTGTTTCTAAACACAATAATTACTAAGAA